CACAAGGTTAGTGAGATATATTGTAGCACATACATGTTGCTTATGATAGTGCACATTAATGCAAACTTTTTGAGGGCAGCAATCAATGTTCATAGATCTAGCCTTTGATCTTTCTATATATTTCTTTCTTTTCTTTTCTTTTCTTTTCTTTTCTTTTCTTTTCTTTTCTTTTCTTTTCTTTTCTTTTCTTTTCTTTTCTTTTCTTTTCTTTTCTTTTCTTTTAACTGCTCCAGTCGATGGTAGGGGATTTTACTTGGTCCCAGGGTCATAGGCCAGGTATGGTCCCATCTTTATTTGGCCTTCTTCTTGGGGTGTAGGTTGTTGGTATGGCCACACTTCTTTCAGCAGTTGACCACAAGGGGGTGCAGGTGAGCATAGCACTTGTGGGGGATTATCTTGTCACAGTTGTATTTCTGGGCAAGCTGACTAAGGGACAGCTCGATGATGCTCCCATGCAGGCGCAGCACCAGGTGCAAGGTGGACTCTTTCTGGATGTTTTAATCTGACAGGGTGAGGCGATCCTCCAGCTGTTTGCCAGCAAATATCAGCTTCTGCTGGTCTGGTGGGATGTCTTCCTTGTCTTGGATCTTGGCCTTGACATTCTCAATGGTGTCACTAGGCTCGACCTCAAGAGTGATGGTCTTGCCCGTCAGGGTCTTCACAAAGATCTGCATGTTGGCGTCTACCGCTCGGCCCATGTTGGCATCTGCCGCACCGCTGCCTCGTTCCACACCACTTCTTATAACTGTGGTTGTGTGTGTGTGTGTGTGTGTGTGTTATATGGGTAAGTGTGCACATGCTATAGTGCATGTGTAGAGGTCTGTGGACAACTTTTGAGAGCTGGTACCTTGAGATCTGGGGGTCTACCTCAGACTGTCAGACTTGCACAGTAGGAAATTTATTCAGGGTTGTCTCACTGGCCCCATCATAGGCTTTTCTTTGTACAGAGGTTTTTGATTATTTATTTAATGACTTATTAAAGATTGACTTATTCAGAATTTCTAGGTCTTCATGCTTCAGTGTTGATGGTTATACGTTTCTAGGAATCTATCCATTTCTTTCACACTGTCTAACTTAATGATATATATATAACTTCAGAATTCCTGCTCAATTCTTTTTATAAATTTACATCTTATTGATGATATTCTCATTTATAAACAGTGTTTTCCGGATTCATTTGTTTTTCTGTCTCTATTCTCTCTTAGTTCATTGAGCAGCTTTATGATAGTTATTTTAAATTCTGTAACATGTAGCTCAGAGATCTGCATTTATTTTAGGCTTAATTGATTTTGTACTTTTGTCTGGGTCATGCTTCTCTGTTTCTTTGTATGTTTTTTACTGTGGGTGGAAGGACTGAAATGTGAACATTTGAAAAAAAACAGCCACCTCTTTAGGGCTTTGCATCCTGATTTCATGTACAAGTCCTTCATCAGTCGGCCCTGTTGATTCTAGGACAGTGGTTCTCAACATGGGGGTCGTGACCCCCTTAGGTGATCAGATGACCCTTTCACAGGGGTCACCTAAGACCATTGGAAAACACAGATATTTACATTACAATTCATAACAGTAGCAAAATTACAGTTATGAAGCAGCAAGGAAATAGTTTTATAGTTGGGGGTCACCACAGCACGAGGAGCTGTATTCAAGAGTCACAGCATTAGGAAGGTGGAGAACCAGTGCTCTAGGATCTTCCAGATCTTTACTGCTCTCTTGCTTCCTTGATGTCTGCTTAGAAAACTGTAACAGTGTCAGTGATTTCCAAGTCAGCTAATGGTCTTGCCTGTGCTTGAAATCAGATGAAAGGGAAACCTGACCCTAGGAAAGGGCCCAGCTAATCTGCATGCTGTTTTCAAAGAGAGAGCCGCCTCTGCAGGAGAACGTTGTCACCGTAGACTGTAACAGGGGTGGTAAAGGCTCCCATCTTAGGAGTGTTTCAATGGAGACAGAGATAGAGGAGTCAGCTGGGCAAGATTTAGGAGGATTCCTTCAGAAAGGCCACTGGACTAGTTTGAGTTACAGGTACCTGGATCTGAGTTTTGTGAATTTGGTGAAGGATTCTGATTCCTTAATCATTTTATGTTGAATTAAAAGAATGGAAAGATTACCACGTTTAGGACACACTTCCGTGTTGACAAACAGACAATAAAAGAGGTCAAGAAAAAATATCCAGTTCTCCACGGAGAAGTGTCTGTTTATGTGGACAACTTGACGGGGTTTAGCTAGAATTCAGGGTTTTTCTTGTCAGGTTTGCCTCTGTTGCTCTGATTTTGTAACACATCGATACTTTATGACATACTTTCACAGGTTATGAAGGCTCTCTCATGAATCCAGTGATTGGCTGGCGGTGCTCAAAGCTGTGGTGCATGGGACATGAACTTGAATAGATATGGATAGCTTTGCTTGTTATTTTTCTACTTAGATCACATCCAGCATTCTATGTAGATCACGAGCTGCTGATAAAGATGAACTAGTGTGCATTAAAGAAATCATTTCCTACCAACAGACACTGTGCATGCTGTCTGCCTTTGCCCCCACTTTCCCTGAGTGCTGTCTAGCTCAAGGAGCTTGTTAGTTAAAACATGCTCTTGTGTCTCTTGTGAGCCTCCCTTAATTATTGTGTTTGTTTTCTAACCATCGCTTGTGAGAATGCAATGTTATAAAAGCAACGCTTACATTCTAAGAGCCTAGAACTTTTGTTGGACCTCGCAGCTGAGTTAATTATACACCTTGAGGTCACTTAGGACGTGACTGCTCTCTTGTTGGTTTAACCTGCTTTTAAAGGGAACGGTGCAATAGATTCAGACTCCTACACCAGACAGACAGACAGACAGAAGATGGAAGTAGAGAATTCAAATCTGAATCTTCTCTTGATTAAATGACTTGGAGGGAAGTGCATTTGTTTCTTTCCTTCATGTGACCCCAGTGCAGTATTTAGTAACTCAGAGTTCATCACTAAAGCATAGAATCTGAGCATTTTGGTGCCCCAGGTGAAGAACACATGAGGAAGATGTGGGACCATGTGAAGAACATGTAAGACCATGTGAGGAACATGTGAAATCACATGAGCCTTTAATGCCTTAGTGAAGCTTCTGGAGTACACTATGTGAGAGAAGGAAGGCCTGAACTCAAAGGAGCTTATAGGGAAGACCACTTGTTGGGATGTGGATTCTGGGCATCTCAGTAGCCCAAAGTAACAGGGGCCTGAAAGTCACCCAAAATCTCCCACCTCACCTGCCTAGGGTGGTGGAGAGGTACCCAGGAAAAGGGCAACTTGGGCATCTCAGATCGGTCGAACCTGCAAGTCCATCCCAGGAGCTAGGGTTCTGTGCCTTGAAAGCTCCCCTTGAATGCTCACTTCCATTGCCTTATTTCTCCCTATCAAGTCCAGTGATTCTCCTTCAACTTCCAGTACAAGGAAAGAGCGTGATTTTCCCTGAAGTACATCCACGCAGTACCTTCTCTATCTGTTTTCACTGTTTCCTATGTGTCATGTGCACACACAGCAGTTAAGAATGTTACTTAGCTGGGCGGTGGTGGCGCACACCTTTAATCCCAGCACTCGGGAGGCAGAGCCAGGTGGATCTCTTTGAGTTTGAGGCCAACCTGGTCTATAGAGCAAGATCCAGGACAGGCACCAAAACTACACAGGGAAACCCTGTCTCAAAAAAACAAAACAAAACAAAACAAAACAAAACAAAAAATAAAACAAAACAAAACAAAACAAAACAGAATGTTACTTAAAGAGGGTGGAACCAAGACATTATTAAAACAAGCTTGAAAATGTTCACTTCTGGGCACACCATGCATGTACAATTCCTGTAGGGCCTCCTTGTCCCAGGTCCTGTGATGTAGAATATTATTTTAAGGTATGTTACTTTTGTTTATGTTGCATTTGATTAACTCTGTGAAGCTGTGTTACTCTGCCTGTCTAAAACACCTGATGGTTTAATAAAGAACTGAACGGCCAACAGCAAGGCAGGAGAAAGGACAGGCAGGGCTGGCAGGCAGAGAGAATACCTAGAAGGAGAAATCTGGGAGAAAAAGAAGTAGCCAGAGAAGGAAGAAGACATCAGGGCCAGCTACATGGCAAGCCATGGAGTAAGAGTAAGATTTACAGAAGTAAGAGAATGGGAAAAGCCCCAAGGTATAAGGTATAAGGTATAAGGTGACAGGATAATTTAAGATAGAAACAAGCTAAGCTAAGGCTGGGCATTTGTAATTAAGAATAAGCCTCCATGTGTGATTTATTTGGGAACTGGGTGGTGGGCTCCCCAAAAGAGCAAAAGTAACCAACTACAGTCCTGTCTTCATCAGACAATTCAGCAGTCCTGTGAGCTGCTGCTACAGCAGCAATTGGGCCTCCACCAGCTCCTCCCCAGGCTGGCTGGCTGGCCATCCATAGCTGAAAAGTCTGCTTTCACCTTTAGATGAAAAAGATGGACACATTGCTTGCTGATGATTCAAATTAGAGGCTTTTAAAGGGAAGATAAATTACGTGAGTCTCTTAAGAAAACCGAAGCTCAATTTTCTGTCAGCCCTCAGTCAGTTAATAAAAACTAAATGGAAGTCTAACAGGCTCTCAGACCCTGCCACAAGGGCTTAAAGCAAGTTAGTAAATAAGTAAATGTCCCTGGTCTTACACACTCCAGGTGTTTGCTTTTTGTTTGTTTTTCTTCTACTGAAAGACAAAAACCTGTGAAGACCTTTATGGACTTTGTTAGTCATCCATAACAAGCTATAAAAAAATAATAAAGGAGTTGTGACCACTTTATTTTTCTCATTGACTTATGAAAATACAAATTCTGACTAGGCCTCTAAAAGTTTCAACTGTAAAAACCAGGCCTTGCCTTTTTCTAAAGCTAACATCTTCCTACTTAGTAGGTAAACTCACAAACAATATTTAGTTATTAATGACTTAAAATTGCTTTTTACTGTTCCTTTATTCTCTAATGATTAAAAAAAAACTTGCTATTTTCAGTGACTTCTATCAATAATCAAACACCTAGTTGTCATGGTATTAAGTCAGACAGGTATCATCCAGCAACTGATGGGAACAGATGCAGAGACCCACAGTCAAACATTAGGCAGAGCCAGGGGAACCCCAAAGAAGAGGGGAAGGAAGGATTGTATGAGCCAGAGAGGTGGAGGACAACACAAGAATATGACCCACAGAATTAACTAAGCAGGGCTCCTAGGGGCTCACAGGAATTGAAATGACAAATATAGACCCTGTATAGGTCTGAGCTAGTTCCTCTGCATAGACATTGTGGTTGTGTAGCTTGGTGTTCTCAACAGTGGGAGTGGTGGGTATCTGACTCTCTTGCCTGCTCTTGGGACCCTTTTCCTCCTACTGAGTTGCCTTGTCCAACTTTCATATGAGGGTTTATGCTGAGCCTTAGTGTAACTTGTTATGCTGTGTTCAGTTGATATCCCTGTGAGGCCTGTTCTTTTCTGAAGGGAAACAGAGGAAGAGTGGCCTTGGGGGAAAGGAAAAGTAGGAGGAGGGACTAGGAGGAGTAGAGGGAGGAGAAACTGTGGTCAGGATGTAATGTATGAGAGAAGAATAAAAAAAAGAAAGACTAGACCTCACAATGGTACAAATGTTATTAAAATTTCAAAGTTGAGCACATTGATATTAAGCTTCTATTGAGTCAGTGGTGTTCTCACAAGTTCCTAGTCTACTCTTCGTAACTTTTCTTAGCACTGGTTACTAAAGCTTTGCAAAAATAATGAAAATTGCCGGGCGTGGTGGCGCACGCCTTTAATCCCAGCACTCGGGAGGCAGAGCCAGGCGGATCTTTGTGAGTTCGAGGCCAGCCTGGGCTACCAAGTGAGCTCCAGGAAAGGCGCAAAGCTACACAGAGAAACCCTGTCTTGAAAAAACCAAAAAAAAAAAAAAAAAAAAAAAAAAAAAAAAAAAAAAAAAAAAAAAAAAAAAAAAAATGAAAATTGTCATAGTCATAGGCTCAATAAATTTAAATTTCCTTTGGGTGGTTTTAAGTTTGTTCATGCTTTTCCTGATGACTTTTCAGGCTTTACTTTTCCTATGGCTCAAGCATGTGAGTCTGCTGGAGCTGTTTGCAGCCACCTAATAGCTGCTTTCTCCACAATGAGGATTTCAATATAGACTAAAACAATGGTCCTGCTGATGTAGCTAAAACTTTATCTCTTTATGTCAACTTAAAAAAAATTGTATACCTCCCAAGAACAAGCCATAATCAAATGGAATCATTTATTACTAGAAAAAAATCAAATATATAAACAAAAAGGGGGAATATGGGATTAACTATTGAGGAACAATTTATACATTAAATCTTAAAAATTATTTCCCTCAATTTTACCCTGACACATACAGAAAAACATCCCAAGAAGCAAGGCATTTTATTCAAACTCAGTTTTGTATAGATTCTGTCAAGGACCTGATGCCTGGGTCCTGCTCTCTTCAGCCAGCTCCCCCCACTCCAGCAAATCAAGCTATACAATTGTCTCGCCATGCAGAGGGCCAGGATTAAATCTTAAAATGTGACCTTTTATAGGATTAGCCATTCTGTTTGTCTGCTTCCTCCTTACAGCCCTATTGTGCCTTTGCCAGCATTTCAAAGGGACCTAGAATGAGGTGATATTGATTCAGTCTGTTCCTACAGTGCACCATGCCTTGACCAGCCCTTCACCAATGAGTACATCCATGCATGTTTCTTCTTTAATAAAACAAAAAGGAGGAACTGTGGTTGATGGTTGATGGGTGATGTTGCTCTGTATGCTGTGAATGTGTTGCTCTGATTGGTTGATAAATAAAATGCTGATTGGCTAGTAGCCAGGCAGGAAGTATAGGCGGGATAAGCAGAGGAGGAGAATTCTGGGAGAGGAAGGCTGAGTTAGGAAACGACAACTTACCGTCCAGGGAACAGCATGTAATGGCACACAGGTAAAGCCATGGAACATATGGCAACATATAGGTTAACAGAAATGAGCTGAGTGTAAGAGCTAGTCAGTAGTTAGCCTGAGCTAATGGCCAAACAGTTTTAATTAATATAATAAGTCTCTGTGTGTTTACTTGGGTCTGAGCAGCTATGGACGGGGTCAGACACAGGAAAACCTCAGCTACACCATTCCTTCTCCATGGGATACTTTCTGGGTCGTTCAGTAAATACAGAGTGAAGCCCTTCGTTAGGGACAGACACAAACACAGGCACAGATTCACAAGGCAGCCATCAAGTAGACACATATTCAGACTCTACACAGATACACAGAGAACAGGGAGCATGAAGTAAAGAGTTCAAATTTGAACTCGCTTTTGGTTAAATGACTTCAAGGGGAAGTGCTTTTATTTCATTCCTTTCTTTAATGGGACACCAATGTGTTATTGGTGACTCAGAGTTAATCAGGGATTCATTTAATCAATACAGTACCTATATGTAATTGTGTCTCACTGAAGCAACCTTACTGCTGCAAGAATTTTGTTAGTTTTCATATCAAGTTGACCTTTTTATGTTGAATTTTCAATGTCTTTATCCATTAGTTTTCTGCTAGAAAATTCATTTTGAAATAACCCACATGAGAAAGTTACAGATGAGCATGCTTTTAAAACCAAGTAAGAGCATAGCTAGTCTACTATGCTTTTAAAGCCAAGTAAGAGCATAGCTAGTCTACTATGCTTTTAAAGCCAAGTAAGAGCAGAGAAAGTCTACTAGTCAGTTGACTGAGTGGGCTCATGTCTAGGAGAGGACTCCAGTCCTGAGACAAAGGAGGGTAGGGGTTTTAAAGTCAAAGGCTGCAATCACATTGCACCTTGGATAGGATAGGGAGTCTTTACAATGTTGCCTCTGATCTTATAAAACATCACACCAGGCCATTCCTCCAGAGGAACCAAATTATTTTTATGAATCAGGAGCCTTTCTTGGAAGGGAAGGGGGACCCTTTTGGTCTTGTAAAATATCAAGGAGACTGAGAAGCCATTTGTTTACAGGCAACTGTGGCTCCCAAAGGGAGGAGGTGTGGGGTCAGGAAAATTTGACCTTTCTTAAGTTATTACAATTTAAACATAGATATGCATGGTCATTGCTGCCCTCTTCATAATAGCCAGGAAGTTGAAATAACCTAAATATGGAGTTCTAGTCACCTGTGAAGAACAGGTTAGCTTCAACAACTGAAGTTGACTTGATCACAGTTCTGCACACTGGAAGCCCAAGATCAAGCTGCTGTCATGTCCAGGTTAGCCTTTTCTCCCAG